AGCATGGAGGTGGAAACATCATTCTTTGGGGATGCTTTTCTGCAAAGGGGACAGGACGACTGCACCGTATTGAGGGGAGGATAGACGGAGCCATGTATCGCGAGATCTTGGCCAACAACCTTCTTCCCTCAGTAAGAGCATTGAAGATGGGTCGTGGCTGGGTCTTCCAGCATGACAACGACCCGAAACACACAGCCAAGCCAACTAAGGAGTGGCTCTGTAAGAAGCATCTCAAGGTCCTGGAGTGACCTCGCCAGTCTTCAGACCTGAACCCAATAAAAAATATTTGGCGGAAGTTGAAAGTCCGTATTGCTCAGCGACAGCCCCGAAACCTGAAGGATCTGGAGGTCTGTTTGGAGGAGTGGGCCAAAATCCATGCTACAGTGTGTGCAAACCTGGTCAAGAACTACAGGAAACATATGATCTCTGTAATTGCAAACAAAGGTTTCTGTGCCAAATATGAAGGTCTGCAGTTCTGATATATCAAATACTAATGTCATTCAATAAAATGCAAATGAATGAAAAATGTGATTATCTGGATTTTTGTTTTAGATTCCATCACTCACAGTTGAAGAGTACCTATTATAAAAATGACATACTTCTAGTTCTACATGCTATGAAAGTGGGAAAACCTGCAAAATCGCAGGGTATCAAATACTTGTTCTACCCACTGTATGTTTCTTGGGGTTGGTTCTGGTGTAGATTTAGGAGGGCAACTGATGGGTTCATTGTTGACGATTTCTGTAATGGATCCACTGAAGACAAGTTTCAAGAAAACCCAAGTGAGGTTTATTTATAAACAAAACAAGATCAAAACATAAAACAAAAGCGTGACGTGGCATGAACACAAAAAATTACCATGACCACCCATGGTTACAAGGAAACAAAACTTGACAAAGACACATGGCAACCATGAGGGCTTAAATACACACAAGACTAATGACAAGACAAGGGACTCCTGTGAGCAATGTCAATATGAAACAATGAACCAATGACAACAGCTCAGGTACACTTAGTCCAATATACAATGTGGTCATTTTGTTGGTAGTTGGTAAGACAACAAGGCTCTTCAAAAGGTTTTTTTTTTTCATTTAGGATGAGGAGTGTTCACCAAGCAAATAGTGGATTTTGTGGTTGAATATAAAGGCCTATTCACACAGGAACAAGAATCTTTTGAGAGGGTTTCTTTTTGACTTTCCATGGAAAGGACTTTCCATTGTGGTGGTTATTGATTTTTATCCTTTATTGTAGTACATTGATACTGCATTCTAATACACACATAATATAATGACAACAACTTGCAATATAGGCCCGGTTTCATATGACACACTTTATGTTCACATGTGTAAGGCCCGGCTTTATAAACACAATGGAGGCCATTCGATCAGCGGGTAAAGGAATGTCTGGGAATGGCTTTCCTTGTGACAATTTGGTTTGTCATGCATCATGTCAATTTCAGTTCTACTTCTAAGATAATAGATACCGCTTTTCAAATGTAAACTGGGGTTGTCATATAATTTTGTCCATCTTCCTAATTCTAGTTTTGACTTCTAATGTTTTAGGAATTCGGCCCAAATCCAAAATTTCACTTGCACTGCACTGCGATAGTGAAAGTCCAAAGTTTCAACTCAAAACCATTTTTTATTCATGATTATTAATGCATTGCATATAATAATAAAAATTCATTACATTTATATGGCGCTTTTCTAGGCACTCAAAGCGCAAAATGTAAGAAAAGAGATCGACTTGGTATTGTTAGACCTCCAGAAAGCAATTGACACCATTGACCATCAGCAAATGATTAAACTCAAAGTCCTTGGTTTTATCAGTATGGCATGTGGATGGATTTGATCACACTTGACTGAGAAGTATCAAAGAGTTGATATTAATTGCATTCTGTCTGAGGCTAGAGAAATAACATGTGGGGTACCACAGGGCAGTGTCCTGGGTCCATTGTTGTTTCTCTTGTATATGAAATCTGTTTGCAATTGTAATCTTTTTCTCTATGCAGATGATTCAGCATTGGTGTTCTCCCATAAGGACATAAAAGTTACTGAGAACCATTTAAGTGATGAGTTAAAGAATATAAGCGAATGGTTGATTGAGAATAAAATGTCTTTGCATTAAGGGAAAACTGAATCTATTCTATTTGGTTCAAAAATAAGGTTGAGTAGGACTCAACAGACTGAGTGGTACCCAGATTAAAGTTAAAAATTGTGTCAAATATTTAGGCTGTGATTTAGATTGTTCTTTGAGTGGTGAAAGTATGGGTCAAATGGTTATTATAAAAGTGAACCAAATAATTAAATTTCTGGCACGTAAGGCTCATTTCTTTAAATAAAGAAACTTTACAAATGTTAGCAAATGCGTTGATTTAGCCTCACTTCGATTATGCCAGTACTTTATGGTACAGCAGTACCCCCAAGAGGATAAAAGTTCAACTGCAAACAGCAAAGAATAAATTAGCCAGGTTGATTTTAGACCTTTACATAGGAATCATGTCGGCTCTTCTGAATTTAAGAATTTAAAATGGCTGACAGTTGAAAATAGGGTGAGACAGCTGAAACTGAGATTAACAAGGAAGATTTTGTATAGGAAGGAGCCAAAGTATTTTTTAAGATTATTTTAAGCTTATTATTTTAAGGAACTCTCATAGCTACTCAACTAGTGGCAGTGCCACAGACATGGTGCCTTGTAGATTTAAGAGTTGTTCTGGGCAAAACACCTTTTTGTACGTGCACGGCAGCAATGGAATGGAATAAAGATCAAGTTAAGCCAGTCAGATCGCTGTTTTAATCAAGCATGTGGCGATTGGTTGCTAAATGCTAATTTGACTTAGTTTTTATGTAGTACTGATGAATATTTATCTTGATGTGTAGGCTATGTATTTGTGTTTATTATGGTTTATACAGGGTACTCTGGATCTGTAGCTTGCTTGCCATCTTTATCTTTATTAGATACAGCGAGGACCACAATGGAAATAAGTTTTGTAACTTTCTTGTGTTATCCTCGACAGTTCTTATAAATGTATACTGTCATTGTGATGGCATCTTATGCATTTATTTTATTTTTATTTTACTGTCTAATAAACCAAACTCAACAGATTGTAACATTTATACAGTATGTATTCAACATGCTTTTGATGTTATTGGGTGAATATTTTTATTTATTTTTTAAAACATGCTCAAGTCAAGTTATAGCGCTTTTCACAATATAGATTGCATCAAATCAGCTTCGCAGTATCAATCAAAACATAATAACAATGTTCGTTTCTTAGTGGAAAAACATCCACGTTTGGTAGAGCTGATTGGTTAAGTAAGGAATAATTGACGACAGGCTGTTGAATTATTAGAAAAATAATGCACACCCGAGGTGGTAATGCGGTCACGACGCGAAGCGGAGTTACACCTCGGGTGTGCATTATTTTTCGGATAATTCAACGGCCTGAAGTCAATTATTCCTCTTATACTACAGTTACCACACCTCAAAACATTGTTCAGATGATTCATATCAAGACGTTTGTCAAGTTTTTGATATTAAAGCGCTCTTGTATGTGGGTCTAATTTCTTACGCATCTAATCCCATGCCTCCGTTGCTAATTCCTAAACGTCATTTTAGAGTTAGTAGTAACGGAGGTTTGAGCCACTGATAGCAGACTAATGTAATGATGGGGGACACACTTACAGTTCACTGAAATATTCGAAGACCGACTGTTTCCATCGACTGTAGCAGGTCTTACTAAAGTAACACCAACTGTGTGAACACAGACTGAACGCGCGTTTGGGCATGATCAGTCAGAAGTATCAAATTACATTCATAACTGGCCTTAGTAGGCCTAAACTAGTCTGTCCCGGCTTTATGCAGTTATTAATGCAGTTATTAGAGAGAGAGAGAGAGATTGAAATAATGAGACAGAAAAGCATGTGCGTCAATATTATTATTTATTTATTAACTTTGTTTTAATTAATTCGTTCATTATTGTTTTCTATAATTGACAGTAGATAACCCAATAAATGAAACACACAAAGCACTTTTTTTACAAGTAGGCCTAGCAATAATTATTTATTTGTTATATTATCTGGAATATTTATGAAGTTACGTGCAGCAGGACTATTAATTTATTTATATAGCCTTCAGTTTAATTTTCTATTTAGCCTATTATAGATAGGACTATACTTTATTTATTAAAATTAAACTGTATGTGTCCATTGATTGTGAAGTTAGACATCGAAAATTGCAGATCAAGCGCATGGGGCTGCATGTCTTCTCTTGATATGAATTGTATCCTATTTTCCGTTAACTACGCGCAGTGATATGGAACTGTAATGCGGTTCAAACTTGCCTGAAACTACTTTAGCCGTCAAAATAATTGCACACCTATTGAATGTTCTCAACCAATCAGAATCAAGCGTTCAACAGCCCTGTAGTATAATTGATTTGAATATCCCCAACTGAGCAAGCCAAAGGCGACAGTGGCAAGGAACTGAAAAACTCCATCAGGTGACCCGACGGAGGAAAAAAAAACCTTGGGAGAACCCAGGCTCAGTCGGGGGCCAGTTCTCCTCTGGCGTTTATGAACTAGAGGCCGAATTTACAGTAACTGTCACGTGAAAATGTATATGAATGTTTCTAAATAGACTTTAAACGCGAACCTGTGATAAATTGGTAGTAACAGCCCTGCTGATGACGTTCACATGCGCATTAAGAATTGATTCAATAGTTCTGTGCGTTTGAATATATGCGCGCAGGTTTTTAAATTCCCTCATGCCTGAACAAACTACTTGTCTATAAATTTGATACAGATTTTCGAATCACTTCAGGGTAGGGACGCGAAACGAATTCACATCGCTTAATCTGTAGAGTGGGAAAGGGATCCTCCATAGGGAGAGGCTAGTTGGCACTTCAGCACTGCATTGTCATCGTCATCGTGTCCAGTCTAAGGTCATCGCCAGATCTGGATACGGCCTGGATCCGGCAGGCTGCGGGAAAACCTCGGGATAAACAAAGACACTAATTAGCGTAGATGCCATTCTTCTTATGATGTAACGAGTACATCAAGATTTAATGTATTATATTTATGCTAGGGCAAAGAGATCTGTCTTGAAGAAAGCTTTAACAATATGTTGTTAGGTGTGAAAGCGCTGAAGCCATTAAAGGAATGGTTTGTTGATGTCATCCAGTTTCCCTTCCAAAGCAAACGCAAACTCCACCATCTGCCGGTCAATGTTTCTTCAGAAAAAGAACAGGAAACTATCATTATACTCGTTTGAAATTCAGTATTGACTACACCCTGAGACTCTGAGGCACACACCTCAAGCACAGATCAAGGGTGTTGGCACCACAATCAATCCAGTGAAATCTTTACAAAAAAATTAGTTTAGAAGAGTTTAACAGAGTACCTGTGCGTAATCCGGTCCAGGGGTCACATTCAGTCCCGTAGCAGCCAAAAGTTAAAAGCCGTCTGTTAAAAGATTAATGCTTATATTTGACATGAAATGTCAAGCATGGACAGCAGTGAGTAATATTTGAGATATGGCAGTAAACTCAATTGTAGTTTTTTTAACAAAACTTGTTTAGATATTTAAGACATGTCTTGGAATTAAAAGGAAATTCTTAAGTTTAATTATGGTATAATGGGTGTTGGTGTGGATGGATTTGTAATGGTCATTTGATTTACCCTCAGCACTTCTCTCATTTATCAGTAATGAAGAGACGGCAGCTTCACAAAACTTCCCGTCCTTGTCCTCTTTCTCATCGGCATCTCATTTTCCTCAAATGGTTGATGATTTTCAGCCGCGTCGGCTCAATCTGGATACGACCTGGACAGAGAAACAGAGTACCTGTGCGTAATCCGGTCCAGGGGTCACATTCAGTCCCGTAGCAGCCATGTATGTCCATGTTTTGATCTTATCCACTCCATTAAATTTGGGTTTTGACAGCAACTGTTTTGGGAAAGAATTATTGGAGAAGAAAAATATACATTTCACCTTTCGCCATTATTCAAAGTAACAGAAATACACGTTTTCACTTTCTTGGATTATTTAATTGGCAGGTGGCATGCCAGTTTTCCAGGTATATATGGGATTGCATTAATCTTTCTGAAAATGATGTACAGAGCTCTAATAAACAGAAAACTTCTCTCGCTAGTGGCTGCAGTGGTCTGATCGTCCACTTTCTGACCCTGACCTCAGCTGCTGCTCCGACCTACTCCTCCTCTTCTGTCTCTCCTGACTATCGCTTCCCTTTCTAACAGGTTGATGATAAACATACATTACACATATAAGAGTTTGACCTTGACTTTTCCTGTTTCACAATAAACTAAGAACATATCAAACAAATAGACAAAAAAAAGTGTCTTCCAAATATTAATATACAGGTGAAACTCGAAAAATTAGAATATTGTGCAAAAGTTCATTTATTTACGTAATTCAACTTAAAAGGTGAAACTACTATATTATAGAGACTCATAACATGCAAAGTGAGACATTTCAAGCCTTTATTTGTTGTAATTGTGATGATTATGGATGAAACACCAAATTCAGTTAGAATATTGGGCATTTCAGAATGTTTGTAAACAATAGGCACCGCGATACTTCCGGGTGGCAGAACGCGAGCGGCTTCCATTGACTAACTGAAGAGATCCAGCCAGCAACTGAAAAGTTACACAGTTAAAATCATTGTTGTTGATCAAAGTTGAATCTATGGCGAAAATATGTTGTGTTTGGGGTTGCGCCACCAGATATACAGCAAAAGGTGTAGGTTTTTTTATCGATTTCCTTCAGAAAAAAGTAAATCTATCCAGCAGAACCTGTGGGTGAGGAGGTTAAAGCGAGTGGACGTCGTCAAAAGTGCATGTCGTCTTCTAATTATGAGCCTGAGCCCGATTTAAACCCAACCATTTTAATATGTGGGTCGTTATATAACTGACGTTCTCAACTAACTTAGTTATTTCTATGTTTTGGTTATTGGGGGACTATGCCCCATGTCATGTCTGATAGAAGTTTATATATATAATATATATATATATAATTATATATTTATATATTTATAATATATATATATTATTTTTTTAGCAGTCAAAAATTAATATTATTAAAATTAATTTATTATGGTTTTGTGTCCAGTGAAAATCAGCCCTGACTGCAAATAGTATTACACAGTCCCTCCAGAAAAACGCGATTACGCGATCGCTGAATTCAATGCAAAATCAGCCAAAGTCCGCATATTTATGCGGGGGCCGCATTTTTTAAAATATGCCGCACTTTCGCCGCATAAATTGCCGATTTCCGTGCAAAATATGTGGGGTTTGCACAATTTCATAATCCTCGCATTTTCGTTGCAAAAAAGTCACATGTATCTTAGCAGAAAGTTGAAAAATGTTGCGTTTGCTTCACACAAGAGCAGCCATTTCCCCCTGTTTCCATGGGAACGTTATGAAGTGACGCAATTACGCGACGCCAGACAGACTCACGGAGGCGATTGACATCTCACAAATCGAACTCGTATAACTGTCCGTCACACGTTCTACCGTCACATCGTTACTTAATAAACAACATAAGATAAAAGAAGTAGCATCAAACAGACATGGGGTGTTCGAGGCGCACATATAACACTGCAGAGAGTTCAACAAGGAGCGCGCAGCTCTTAAAGGGGCCACACCTTATTTACACTCGTTACAGTCTGAAATAAAACAAGATGAGAAATTAAATATTCCCAGCACTTTCTATCATGTAGTATGCTTGCTTATCAAAGGAAGTAATAAGAAATGACTCTTACATTAGCCGAGTGAGAACAGGATGTTGGGGGAATCACTTTTTTTTTCTCTTTTTCATCAAACTGCAATTTTTGCAAGTTCCCTCAATTTTTGCAAATTCCTGCAATTTTATCGCATAAAATTGCATAAATATCCTGCATATTCCATCGCATTTTTAAAGAAAACGGGCCGCATAATCAATCAATTTTTGCCCGCAACAATCACAAAAAAACTCAGAGTTTTTCTGGAAGGACTGAATACTATTATGGTAAATGTTATATATAAATCGCAAATTTTTTCACAAATTTTTGAAAATTACCACCACAAAATCAGTCATTTTGATCGCAAAAATCACAAAAAAAAATCGTGAAATCCTGGAGGGACTGATTACAAACAACTGTAACATTTCTATTAAAAATACTATTTTTAATCATGTAAAATACTCACATCAGTGCGTTGAGTTTACAGTGTTTATCCTGCAGTAGAGCAGCGATCTGATTCACTCGTGTGTCTCCTAGTTCACGTTCACTCAGATTCAGCTCTCTCATGAGTAATCGGTTTTTACCCACAATTCCAGTCACATACTGACAGGCTTCATCTGCAGCAGGACTCAAAAACCTGCAGAAGAGAAGATGAAGCAGGATTCAGTTAAATTCTCAACTACACTTGGTGTAATGACAAAATCCATTTTACATGACTTCTGTCTTGAAATCAGACCTGATTCTATGTTTACACTAACCATGGTAGGCTATAATACTTTCTATGTTACTTTCTTTTGAGCGGTGAGTAAATGCTTCTTCATCGTAAATGCTTCTGATTGGCCAATGCGTTCAATAAATCAACACATATGTCTGTGATTGGCTACATCGCTCATCGCTTCAGTCACGTTATAAAAAGAAACTCTGCCATGCAAGTCATTTCTATTTTGTTTTAGTTGTTCTTGTTGCTTTTCTGCAACAGATAAATACAAATGTATTAGTTTTTATTTGTTTTATTCATAGATATTTCTAGTTTGCGGGAGTCCCGCGAATCGTTTTATTCTCCTGCAATCCGCACACACAGACTGCAAATTACCGCCCGCACTCGGCCATCAGATCTAGTCCCGCGCCGCGGTCTAGTGCGTTGGGAGTGCACGTCTCTAGATCAGAGAATCTAAGCTTTAATGATCATGTTAACTATGTCTGAATTTCCACCACGTCTGTTCTTGAATCAACTGTTGAAATGTAGATTAGGCTTCTGCCGGCGGTGTGTCTCCCTCCATGCAATTTACTAGTGTTGCCATAGGGACGCTTCGGCTTTTGCCACCCGTAAGAACGTCTATTATTGTTGTGACGTCATGGTGAATTGTCGTATTGTGAAAAGGTTTTCATAGCTGTACGCCATAATCATCACAATTATAACAAATAAAGGCTTGAAATATCACACTCTGCATGTTATGAGTCTCTCTATCATATATGTTTGACCTTTTAAGTTGAATTACTGAACTAAATTAACTTTTGCATGATATTCTAATTTTTCGAGTTCCACCTGTAAATCCAAATTCATTTCTAGCTTATTAGGGTCATTACCTTAAACCAATTATGGGAAATGATTTGCTCCAAGCCAATCCGCCGTTTTGGGTTTTCCTGCAGGAGGCGTCGAATCAGGTGGCAGCAATCTGTGAAGAGACCTTAAACTTTACACCTGCTGTCTTTCTATTAAGCTGTGAGATTAGACTACGCTAAACTGTACGGTTAAAAAAAACTGGAACTGGTAACAGACATATTTTATGAAGCTTTCTGGTTTTGGTGTTACTGTTACTTCTTTGTTTCATTTGTTCTACTTTGTTGATTTGAAATTATAATTGATCATCTTTTTTGTGATGGATGCAATTTTACCTTTTGACAATTGACGCTCAGACCACATGTCATTATTAATCCTCGGATGCTCTTTGGCTTCTGGAAAGCGTCCACAAACCATCTCGAATAAGAGCATTCCCAGAGACCACACAGTAGCTGGTTCAGCGTGGTACTTGTGCAATGTGTCGAGCTCAGGTGGACAGTACGTTATGGTGCCTAGAAAGAGATTTGTCTGACGGTTAAGCTTGAAATCCCATAGCATGTTTTCTCTAGGAGACGATACACGGGGCAACTTATTGAGCAATGTTGCCGTTAACAGGAAACCAGGTGAGATAAAGGGCCCATGACTGATCTAAAGTACCCAGATAGAAATTTGTTGCCCATTCTCAATGAGAAAGCGCCCAAGGAACATCGCTCTGCAACATTGCTCAAAAAAGTTGCCCCGTGTATCAACACCTTCTGTATCCATTAGAGTAAATGAATAATTTAGTTGTTTTTATTCACAATTCTGGAGTTTTAAAAGTGAGATCAATCCATGGCCAAACCAGGCGTGAGGCGACATATTTAGTGAGAACATATTCATCTAGATTTAAAAAATAAAAACTTTTTCAAACCTTGATTCATAATACATACCACGGAAGTCGTCATAGCCGGACTCTTTCAGGAATCTCCCGCACCCGAAGTCAATCAGTTTGACCTTAAGTGTTTTTTTGTTGATCAGCAGGTTTTGTAACTTGATGTCGCCGTGGAAAACTCCTCGGTCACAGCACGTCTGAGCAGCCGTTGTTGCCTGCGCCATGATAGTCCGTGCCGTTTCCTCCCTGAGGATGCGTTTGTGATCAATCAAAAAATGAAACACATCTTTGCAGTGTGGGGGACGCTCCAAGACCATGATATATTGGTCAGGCTGGTCCTGCCAGTCCAGCAGTTCAATGATCTCTTTAACTTTGGGGTCCCTATTAGCAGCGGTTAACAGGCCGACCTCTAATGGGAGGATTGTAGGATGACCAGGCTGGAAGAAAGATCATTGTTGATTAGAGGATTTTTATAAGATTTTAGTATAAAATATGTTTGTCCAGTTTTGGAAAAATGTTGTTTTCATGATCAAACTTACAATTTTGACGTATTCCATGCTCCTGAACTTTTTGACAATTTTCACTGCCACCTGATTAACAAAACAAAACATTTAGCCCATTACAATTACATTTACAAACATGTAAGTTGCACCACATAGCCTAGTGAACATAATATACAATAAAAGGACTTGAAATGGATAGTGAGACGAAAAAGAATTTGCTAAATTGATAAATGTAAGAAATGACTATACCTCAAGACCATCCTCCAAGCGCTTCCCTTCATAAACCTGGCCGAATCCTCCCACACCAAGCTTTTTGCCGATTTTAAACCGGCTCAGAATGTCGTCTGTTAAAAGATTAATGGTTATTGTTGACATGAAATGTCAAGTATGGACAGCAGTGAGAGTAATATTTGAGATATGGCAGTAAACCCAATTGTACATTGTAAAAAAAACACTTAAGTTTAATTTGAATATAATTCGTGGTGGTGTGTGGATGGATTTGTAATGGTCATTTGACTTGCCCTCACTTGTCCTTGTAGTCGCGGCGTATCTGAATGTTGACGGTGTGAATCTGTAACGGAAGTCGCACACCTGAGCGAGAGGCTTTCTCTTCAGTGCCATGCTGGCAGTTGTCAGTGTCCATTTGGCTAACTTCATCATATTTACTGCAGAATAAACAACGAGAAGACTGATGGACGGTATGTGTTTCACACAGCTGAACTAATTTAGCTGACAAACACAACACAAAGGACCATGACAACGCTCAACTTCTTTATGACGTCATTTTCGAATGCGCGTGAGACTGAAGCTGAACTCATTGCCTACATTGTTCACAGCGGGGAAAAAGTATTGTTTTCTATTCTAATGTTTCTACATAAAACATCTTACCTTGTCCTTTCACTTCATAATAAAAAAAAACAATATTTCTAGTATTATTTTATAACAATATTTTATATTTAAAGTCAGAATAATTTAGGGTTTGACAGGATTAATAAGAGAACATTCAAAAATGTGTTAAGATAATTTGGTGACATATCAGGACAAGTGGAAAATTTATTTAAATCCTAAAATATAATGGACTATGCACTGAACTTCGCGAGTTGATCAAACGCCACCTAAAATAGTGTCTGTAATAAGATTTTACATTTTGGAAATTTTTTATTGACAGAAGAAGGGATATTCTGATGTTTACCGTTTGCAGAATTTTCAAAACTCATCGGAACATGAAGTTCAAATCCAAAACAAGCCAATCCGAGAAAGCTTCAAAATACGCCATTATTTCACCACAGGGTGTCAGTGTTCGTCTACAGACTATCCATGTCGTTCTTTCTTCAGTCGAAAAGAAATTAATGTTTTTGATGAAAACATTCCAGGATTTTCTCCATTTAATGGACTTCAATGGGAACCAAACAGTTCAAGGTCCAAAAGTTTCAATGCAAACTGTTCAAAAAGGCTTCAAACGATTCCAGATGATGAATAAGGGTCTTATCAAGCAAAATGAACGAATCTTTTTTCGTGACATTTGGTTGATTCAACGAACGAAATGAACAAACTGACTCGGAAAAAGATTTGTTCATTTTGATGAACGAGTTCGAACAGGAGAGTCACGAACGCGCATCACAGAACAGAGCAAGGTAAACATTTGAGCTTATACATTTTTTTTTTTCAAAAGAGCGATTGATAAGACCCTTATTTATCGTCTGGAATCGTTTAAAGCCCTTTGAACAGTTTGCACTGAAAATGTCTTTTGGACCTTGAACCGTTTGGTTCCCATTGAAGTCCATTATGAGGAGAAAAATCCTGGAATGTTTTCATGAAAAACCTTAATTTCTTTTCGACTGAAGAAAGAAAGACATGGATATCTTGGATGACATGGGGGTAAATTATCAGCAAAAGTTTTTATCAAAAGTGAACTAATCCTTTAACAGTGGTTTGTGTGTTAATGTTTTAATAACAAATAATTTAGGGTATGGTCGGGTTTTGTTTACAACCATTTTATGTATTGTTTTTGGTATTTATTCAAGTGCATTTTCTGTTAACCGGGACTTTGCTTTTATTTTTTGTTCATTTATTGTGTATATTTTAAATGTTTTCCAATTTCAGTGAGCATCATATGTTGTTTGACTTTTTGATCATCCTCTTCGTATGTTTATGTCCTAAGTAAAAGAATCATGCTAATTAATTAAATGTAGTTGTTTTTAAATGATCGAAACAATAAAATTGTCTATTTTCTGTATCAACACTATTGGGCAACATTTTATTGGATCAACGGAAGTGGCAGTGCACAAAGATCACTGAATCCGGAAGTACCAGCGTGATAATCCCCTATTGATATTATTTTGGAAAATAATTATTCATTATCACAGCTAAACATTTTTTTTGCTCTTCCCTGTACGTTTCTATCATGTTCATGTTCGTCTTCCTCGTCTAAACTGTTTTTTCAGTCGTACCAACAACAATACATCTGATAAACGGAAACGTTCCCCATTCCTGGTCTGAAAATGAAACTCAAAACACAAGCAATTCAAATGAAGCTGTTGGAGAGTCAGGTCAGCTTATGTTCTGCATGAAGACTTTGGTTAAAATGACATTACCAGGTGTGCTCAGGGTTGGAGGCAAAAGGGCCAGAGTTGCCGGCATGGTCTCTGTTGAGCATTCACTCTTAGAAAAAAGGGTTCATTGGGAATATATGAAGCATAGGGTTCTTTACTCGACTCCAAAGAACCTTTTATGCTAAAAAAGGTTCTATAATGACAAGAAGGAACCCTTTTACTAGAAATACCATAAGCCCATAAGCTAGAAATACCAAGCATGGCTTTTACTATTATGGCAGCCGCAGCTGGAACCAGCTTCCAGAAGAGATCAGGTGTGCTCCTACAGTAGTCACATTCAAATCCAGACTCAAAACACATCTGTTTAGCTGTGCATTTACTGAATGAGCACTGTACAGCTTTAACTGCTTTAATACTGCTTTAATACTGCTCTGACTGGAAGAGTTTTTGAAGGAGAGCGGGAGAGTCTTCACTCCGATGAGGCGAGTGTAGAAAGTAAGTTACTTTTACTGCTGAGAGTATACTATAAGAAGTCGCTGAGAGTGTCGTTAAGGGTAACGGCAGCAGAAACGTGCTCTGTGGGGCCCCCGCTGGGCATTACTGGTGTAGCACCACCCCAGCAGAGTACGACCCTGGGCTGGAGGTCCAGTAGTACCGTAAACCAGCTCAATCTCCTCCATCTCAGATAGGGGTATTACTTTATTTTATTTTTACTCTTATCTGTTTTAATTATTTACTATTTATACTGATTGTTAGAGCCAGACCGATATATCGGCCGATATTAGGCATTTTCCAAACTATTGGTATCGGCAGTTATAATGGCCGATAAATGAATATTTCAAAAATAAAATAAAAACAGACGAAACACGCTTGAACCATGTCATGAGTGTTGGAGTTGTAGTTTGTCCACCAGAGGGCACTCTACACCGTCCCTGTTGGCAACAATACTTGAGTTGTTCACAATACATTGCTTGATAGCAATTAAAAGATCATTCCCATCAGTTCTCTGAACTCAAATAAGCATGACAAAATTTGTGCAATTTGCAGTATGACGTTATCCATTACTAAATTATGGCTCTTCACAGACTAGCTAACCACAAAGCTAGCTTATGCCACTCCCATCAGTCTGTTCTGTTGTGACAATAAAAGAAACAAGTTTCTTTTTAAAATGCATTAGCATATTAATTTAGTTAAAATTCATAACTACAAATAACTAATGTTAGGGAAATATGTTTATGTTGTGTTGTGCGTTTCTGAAAAAACATCAAACTAAATATCGGTGCTAACTAAAAATCATGCTGATTTTTGGAGGAGAAAAACTGAAATGGCACTCTTTGTGTGATATTAATTACATAAAATTATATAAATATACACATTTTCTAACCCCCATATCATGAATTTTGTGATCATTCACATGCATTCATAAATAGATTTTAGGGTCTTGATGTTTGTCAATAATATGAAATATATATTCTGGAAAGGTCAAAACAGATGATAATGAATGAACCCAAAAGGTTCCATATAGAACCTTTTTCCTGAACCCTTAATATTACTACTGGACCTCCAGCCCAGGGTCGTACTCTGCTGGGGTGGTGCTACACCAGTAATGCCCAGCGGGGGCCCCACAGAGCACGTTTCTGCTGCCGTTACCCTTAACGACACTCTCAGCGACTTCTTATAGTATACTCTCAGCAGTAAAAGTAACTTACTTCTTCACTCGCCTCATCGGAGTGAAGACTCTCCCGCTCTCCTTCAAAAACTCTTCCAGTCAGAGCAGTATTAAAGCAGTATTAAAGCAGTACAGTAAAACATTTGGACGAACAGTGGCACAGTGCTCATTCATTAAATGCACAGCTAAACAGATGTGTTTTAAATCTGGATTTAAACTCTGGCCCTTTTTCCTCCAACCCTGAGCACACCTGGTAATGCCATTTTAACCAAAGTCTTCATGCAGAACATAAGCGGACCTGACTCTCCATTAAACAGCTTCATTTGAATTGCTTGTGTTTTGAGTTTCATTTTCAGACCAGGAAGGAACGTTTCCTCTGGTTGAGAAAGCTACACCACATCAGTGACCACATCCTCTGTTTATCAGATGTGTTGTTGGTACGACTGAAAAAACAGTTTAGACGAGGAAGACGAACATGAACATGATAGAAACGTACAGGGAAGAGCAAAAAAAAAAAAATGTTTAGCTGTGATAATGAATAATTATTTTCCAAAATAATATCAATAGGGGATTATCACGCTGATACGTAGTACTTCCGGATTCAGTGATCTTTGTGCACTGCCACTTCCGTTGAATCACCGATCTCGCTGGCGAACTGATGAAGGACTACACTAAGTTCATTTACGGCATCCCCTTCACTAAAGTGCCGGCTGCAAACAAACGTGCTACCTTGTTTTATTTTAAAGTTTTAATCCACTTCTTCCTTATACTCAATTCAGTCGGGAATCCATGAACTTACGTAGGCAGGGCCGGCTTTGCCGACAGGCGACACAGGCGGCCGCCTGGGGCGCCATCTGCTGGACGGGGCGCAAATTGCAGAATTTAAAAAAAAGTTAATTAAATGTATGTATCGTATTATGAAAGCTGCGCACACGCTATACACTTATAGCGTTCAAAATGAATTCTATGCAAACATGACTGTACTTCATGACAAAATTAGTCAATGAGTATATTTTGTTAATGTTTTGATTTTTAATAATGTTATTTCTTGATTTGATTATGTCCTGACCTGACCCATTTCCAATGCGAGTGAGGGCCAACAGTGCACTCACAGAGAGACTGCATACACCATTGGCTCACACGCTGTTCTGCATGTGTGGCATCTCTCACAGTCGGGTCGCGTCTAGGACACACACTTGTATTGTTTTCTTTATTTCACATGTAAAGAAAATATCTTAAAGATGTTTGTTTAACTTTTTGATTCAGTTTTAAATGTTCTGTTGGTTGTATTTTATCCCAGCTTTTATATAGTGTTAAAAAACTGAAACAGGAAGTGTTTCTGGACCAGTGTTGTTTACATCTTGTGAAATGGTCTTATTGAATGCGCATCTAATAGACCAACGCCACTTTTGCGTCATCGAAGGGTAACGCCCCCTTTTGGGGGAAAACACCTCTATACTGTCTATGGGAAAACAAACGGATTCCCATGAGAACAGAACTTGCACTAGATCTGCAAAGTTTCTTGATAGCAAAAATGGCACAAACTTAAAGAAGCTATAACGTTGAATACGGGGTTACAGAGGTGTCCCTTTGAAATGGTCGAAAACTGGATTAATGACCCCACACAGCGGCCAAATATGGACTATTCAGACATCTAACGATACCACTATCTCGTGGAATCACCAAGTAAGTAGCCTTTTTTATTTATTTATCATTTACACACTCACAGTAGCCTATGACAAACTACTAGACGATGGGGCCATGTCACTTGGATCATATTTAACTTGATTTAAGCTATTGACAGTTTTGTTGTCGACTAGCTATTAGAAAGAATAAGCTGTTAGCAGCTAACGTTACCTTATTAGACTATGTCAATAGCTTAAATCAAGTTAAATATGATCCATTCATCGTCTAGTTTGTCATACTGTGAGTGAAAAAAAAAGGCTACGTGCTTACTTGATGATTCCACGAGATATTGGTAACGTTAGATGTCTGAATAGTCCATATTTGGCCGCTGTGTGGGGTCATTAATCCAGTTTTCGACCATTTCAAAGGGACACCTCTGTAACCCCGTATTCAGTAACGTTAGCTTCTTTAAGTTTGTGCCATTTTTGCTATCAAGAAACTTTGCAGATCTAGTGCGAGTTCTGTTCTCATGGGAATCCGTTTGTTTTCCCATAGACAGTATACGACAATTCACCATGACGTCACAACAATAAAAGACGTTCTTCCGGGTGGCAAAAGCCGAAGCGTCCCTATGGCAACACTAGTAAATTGCATGGAGGGAGACACACCGCCGGCAGAAGCCTAATCTACATTTCAACAGTTGATTCAAGAACAGACGTGGTGGAAATTCAGACATAGTTTACATGATCATTAAAGCTTAGATTCTCTGATCTAGAGACGTGCACTCCCAACGCACTAGACCGCGGCGCGGGACTAGATCTGATGGCCGAGTGCGGGCGGTAATTTGCAGTCTGTGTGTGCGGATTGCAGGAGAATAAAACGATTCGCGGGACTCCCGCAAACTAGAAATATCTATGAATAAAACAAATAAAAACTAATACATTTGTATTTATCTGTTGCAGAAAAGCAACAAGAACAACTAAAACAAAATAGAAATGACTTGCATGGCAGAGTTTCTTTTTATAACGTGACTGAAGCGATGAGCGATGTAGCCAATCACAGACATATGTGTTGATTTATTGAACGCATTGGCCAATCAGAAGCATTTACGATGAAGAAGCATTTACTCACCGCTCAAAAGAAAGTAACATAGAAAGTAATAGAAATAACTAAGTTAGTTGAGAACGTCACTTATATAACGACCCACGTATTAAAATGGTTGGGTTTAAATCGGGCTCAGGCTCATAATTAGAAGACGACATGCACTTTTGACGACGTCCACTCGCTTTAACCTCCTCACCCACAGGTTCTGCTGGATAGATTTACTTTTTTCTGAAGGAAATCGATAAAAAAAAACTACACCTTTTGCTGTATATCTGGTGGCGCAACCCCAAACACAACATATTTTCGCCATAGATTCAACTTTGATCAACAACAATGATTTTAACTGTGTAACTGTTCAGTTGCCGGCTGGATCTCTTCAGCCGCTCGCGTTCTGCCACCCGGAAGTATCGCGGTGCCTATTGTTTACAAACATTCTGAAATGCCCTATACATAGTTCCCACTGGCAAAAAAATTGTCACGTGACCTCCCCGGAGACGCCATCTTTGAGGGCAAAAGCTGCAGTGTTTACCCAGTTTTATTTTACCGTCTGAGTTTTACTAGAGATTTTTACTAAAGTTTTTACTTTTCTGTTTATAATGTAACGCAAATCATGAAGAGGCAAAGTGAAAGAGATTATAAAGAGAATCTATCACCACAAGACAGAGAGAGGTACTATGCGAAAATTTCATTAATAAATGGTGTGGATCCGTATGCGCTAACTAAGGACGCACTGAGCACTGATTATGCAGCTTTGCCTCAGATACAATATTTTCATGTGTACCATTATCTAGTATTGGCTAGGAGTTTTTACACATTTGAGCAATTCCGAGCCTGGAAATCACTCGACGCGTACAATCAGTTTGCCGAGGGTTGGGTTGGTGACGTTCGCTCAAGTGCAATCAATGGAAAAGTCGTCATCATAGCAAAGGTATAGTATGATGCTAGACTATCTGTCTATTAAAAAGCCATACCCTGCACAACTTAATTCCTTCACCTTATAAAACAGTCACCGATGCTTTCTATAATATGCATGTACTTATTTGTACACTGAAGAATAGGGGTGGAACATACATGTATTCGAATTGAAACAAACCGGTGTGGGTGTCATGGACGGTTCTGTGCATGAATATAAAATTATAAAATTTATGAAATATAGCAAATTATTTTTGAATGCATTCAGGTACAATTACCAAACATATCTCAAGGTCTTTTGTCATTTATTAAATTAATTATATACAACTATTGTCAATGCACTACAAATAAACTGGTTCTGCCTTAACCTTTTAAATAAAAAGTTATTTAAATAATACAAGGATCTCAGAACCGAGCTATGAACCGAACCGTGACTTCTGTGTGCCGTTCCACACCTACTGAAGAATATTATTAGAATCTGCATATCAATCTATGTACAACAAGCAACTTGTACATCATGCATATAATATATCAATGACATTATATAAACCCATTTGTTTTCATTAACCCAAATAAGTTTTTGAACTAAATAAAAATGTTCTTTGTTTAGGTCAAACATTCCCAAAGTCTCAATGACAAGCCACTGCGTCCCTGGGTCATCTGCGAGCCTGATGGTTCCGTCAACTCTGCCCACTGTACCTGCATGGCCGGGCTTGGCGAGGTGTGCTCACATGTTGGTGCGCTTCTGTTCTACTGTGAGGCTGCTGCTCGACTGAGTGCATCAACAACTTGCACTCAACAAAAAGCAAAATGGGTACTCCCAACCATCAACAAGGTGGACTATGCAGAAATAAGAAACATAGATTTTTCCACACCAGCTACTAAAAAGAAGAGAATTGATAGTACCATTGCTGGAACACAACTGACAACCCGAACAGCTACAAAATTACCAAATGTTCAAATACCTTCAGAGGAAAATATCAGTGCCTTTATGGACAAGCTTCATAATACTGGTGTCAAATCGGTCATTCTTTCTGTTACTGAAAAATATCAAGATAGTTTCATTCCAACAATTTTGCAAGAAGGTAGCCTACCCATTGCCTTGATTACCCTGAAAGAGGATAAATATATTAACATGGACAGGGACTCATTATTAGCTGAAGCACCATCTGTATTTACTAAGCTGGCAGTAACTGATCAGCAAGTGAAAAATACTGAGGAACTAACCCGGCCTCAACATAAAAGCAAGGAGTGGCATGCGCTGAGGTATGGAAGAATCACTGCTAGCAACATGAAGCTAGTCATTAGCGGTAACTGCCAACAGCCAGCTCCCTCAACAGTTGCGGCAATCTGTGAAAAAAGTCACTTCTCAACAGTTGCCACTGATTGGGGAAAAAGTCATGAAGACGAGGCTTATGGCGACTTTGAGAAGTATACCAAAGAAAAACATAACCACTTTAGTCTATGTAAATCTGGACTTTGGATTAACAAGAGCTACCCTTATATTTGTGCTACTCCTGATGGCATCCAGGAGTGCATTTGCTGTGGTAAAGGAATTTTAGAAATAAAATGTCCATATAATGCCAGAGAAAGCACACTTAATGAATCTCAGTTGCCTTTTCTTAATGACGATGGCACTTTGAAGATAACAGACAAATACTTTTATCAAGTTCAGACCCAGCTGCTCGTGACAGAAACTGACTATGGTGATTTTGTCATTTGGACTCCACATGAAATGAGCATTCAGAGGATCACCCCTGATACTGATGTCTTCCAGGAAATACTAAGTAAAGCAGAGACTATTTTTTGAAAGTGGTGTTGCCAGAAGTCATGGGAAACCTCATTACCAGAGAAATTGAACAGGAGAAATACAGAAAACATCAAGATAAGCCTGATGTTGGGGAAGTGGTATGCCACTGCCAAAAATCCCATGTTGCCACTGACACAGTCATAAAATGTACCAGTAAAATGTGTATGATAACGTGGTTCCATCTACAATGTGTGAAGTTGAAGAGGATACCGAAGGCATACACATGCAAGACATGTAAAGGCAAAGGCAATGCTAAGATCAAGAGTAGTAAGCTCTAGTGACCTTGACTAGTATTCTCATTTGAATTTCACTGCATATTATTTCTCTTGATTGTGTAGTGTTACATTTTTTGGAATATCAGAGGGGACACTCTTCAGAACAATTTATTTACAGAGACAAAATGCAAACGTATATTTCGTCTTGTTTGACAGAAAGTTTGGACATTACATTTACATTAATTTGGTCATTACATATGTTTTGTCATTGGTTTGACATTACATTTGCTCCTTGTTTTACCGTTTGTTCTTTGTTTTCTATTTTGAATTCTGTAAAGTCTTGTGAGATAACTTGTACTATTGGACTACACAAAAAATGAAATTGAATTGAAAAATGGCACTATAACCAGGATTAGCAGAAATGAACAAATATGTAAAGTTGCAAAAATAAAGCGTTATATGCATGGATGCACAATATGCATGGATAACAATGTTCAGTGTTTTTACACACTTAGACAAATAGTTTGTACAAGACATATCTTGTTGCACTGATCTTTCTAGTTTCAGATGTTTAACCTCTTAATTGAAAGGAACAACAGAAACACATAAATTTGACAAGCAACATGCAACACATGCAATTTTGTCAACAACAGGTAGTTCTTCATTTTCATTCATCAAGATGTCAATTGGCAATTTGCTCTGAAGGATGGTGTATTTGTTGCGAACAAGACCAATGACACGTTCTACATGTATGCGTACATGAGCAATTTTTCTTGTCTGTTCAACTTCAAGGGGTGACAGTTGGGATTTTCCTCTTGTGAAACTGGGAATGTTGATTTGAGCGCAATAGAACCCTACACTGTCTGAAATGTCAAAACCCCGGTCAGCAAGAATGAGGTCTCCAGGCAATAGATTTCTGAGCAATCCACAGTTTTCGGTTGATGTGCTTGTCACTGGCTCTTCCTCCCCATGCACTGGATAAGAAGGAAACAGAACCTTGCGGCGTTATCCCAACCAGGAACTTGGTTGTATTGCAGTGCTTGTAGGCAGACCATGTTTTTGCCCTTGCCATCAGGTTCTTCGGTCTCTGAATGGGTATTTCGAAGCAGTCGATTATCACTGCAGTTCTCTGTCCAAAGTTTTTGCGGAACTCCATTGGCATGGTCTTTCTTAATTCTTCCGTGTTGGCCAGCGAATAATGTGTTTCAACCTCACATAAAGAACGTGAATGTACACAAGGAAAATCCTGGAGGCTGTTGATGTTGAAGTCTGGTAACGATAAGCCAAATCTTGAAGAGGTGTGTTTAGCTTCATACGAGACAATGTCATGACTAATCGTTCAAATTTACCCAGATTACTAAGCCTTGCTGGTGGTAAGTATGGCTCGATGTCATCGTAAATCATCTTTAAGACATCAAATGAAGGCAATCCAGTATAGTATGTTACCAAGTCTTGTCTATCAGCTAGTACTTCCTGTGTCATCCTGAATGTTTTAGTTGTAGTTTGAGCAATATGTTTTCAGACAACAAACGCTGAAATTCACCTTGAACATCAGGTGTCAATGGTTTAAAATGATCTGCATCTGTGCATTTTGGTTTACATGCTGGTGGTTCCATTTTCCCAAGTTTGAGAAAAGAACAGTTGGGTCCTGCAGCAACATCGTTGTCATCTTCTAATTCATTATCGCTTATGGGGGTAGGATTTAGCTCCAAAAGCGCACTTACAGCAGCATGTGTCGCTTTAGATGCTGTCCTCTTTTTTGCCCGTATATATCTAGAAATTAAAACAAATAATAGACACATTTATATATAAACTTATGTACATTTAAATCTAGGGATGCACCGAATATTCGACCACCGAAAAGTTTCGGACGAAAATGGCCCAAAAGTGCATAAACATTTTAGTTTCAATTGTATTTTATGCTGTGCATTGTGCTACATAAATATTTGCATAATTTGTAATTGATTTATTCTTTGAAAATTGAATTATTATATTTTATTAATTTATGCAACTGCAATGCCTTTTTTAGTTTAGTAAAGTTTGTACACAGTCATAGCCATAAATGCAATGACACTAATAATTGCCATAATTTCTTTCGGTTTTCGGCCTTGGTTTATTCTTTTTTCGGTTTTGGCCAAAAAGTTTCATTTTGGTGCATCCCTATTTAAATCTACATACCTAAGACAAATGTGTTACTTAAGATATTTTTACAAACAGTTTGACTGCCTATTTATTATGTAAAAGTGATTCAAAATTCTGTGATTATCAGTGTGCTGTTTTGTTTACCTGTTTGTGCAGCCTGTGGTTTGTTTCAAGTTGCTTTCCGATTTCCTTGGTGTCAAACATTCAGCCAACTTAAGGGAAGGTGCCCAATCTGGATTGGTTTGGTCAAATAGGTCTGATGGTTTGCCTACATTAATCAAACGTGTAAATTTCTTAGAATGCACAAAATAAATCATGTCCTAATAATTATATGTTAAATCTACAGTACAGTTTGACATTTTGCATATTTGATGTAATTATGCAGCAAAAATCAACAAGCAATGCTAGCATTTCTCAAGAACTTTATATTTAAAGCCAGTTAAAACTGCATTTCATGCTTTTTAATTATATTAACACTGACAAAATTAACAAATGATTTTTAATGCGCACGGACACCCTGACCCTTATTTAAGTCACAGATCTTTTACACTACAGATACTTTTACAGAAGCTCTTTTTGTGAACATTGTTTTGGCCCACCACAGAACTATTATTATCTATTTAATACATGTGCGTTGCCCACGAGAACCTCGGACGTGACAACACCGATCCCCCTCGTAACAGAGTATGGAACTCAAGTTACCAGCTTACACAAGATAGTAACTTACTGAGTAAATTACGTCTGTCAGTATATTATAAAATACACACCTGACACAAAATGCTCTGAGCAAATCCTTGCGTGTTTTGAGGGTGTTTGTTTCCTGTTTATCCTCGCCAGCCATAACCTTCGTCGTTCTTCTGACAAAAACTTTGTTTTCTCACATTCATGGAGTCTGATGACGGGTATACTGTAAAATCCAAATTTAACAGAACCTCCGGCACGATTTGAACATCCATTGACCCAGCAGGAGAAGACCATTTTCAAGTTTTAGCAGGAAAATCATTTCACTTCGTTTAATTCGTATGGGTTCTTCTAATGTTTTGCCCTCAGCAATGGCGCCGAGTCGGTAAATGCCCGTATGTTGTGACGTCATGTGGGAACTATGTATAGAGGTGTTTTCCCCCAAAAGGGGGCGTTACCCTTCGATGACGCAAAAGTGGCGTTGGTCTATCAGTAAAGCCGGTTCCTTGATTAGCAGTAAATCACCTTCACCTGCTTTCAGATGGAGCGGCATTCACTACAAAGAGCCGTAGATCACTGACAAGCTGAGCCAAATCGCGTTAATATCGAGGACATATCGATATCGATATTTAATGCGATATGGCTCAGCTGGTCAGTGAACTACGGCTCTTCGTCACGACAAAATCTCCCGTGTTAAACTAACACACCTGGGAGTGTATATGAGTCCACACTCAAGAGTGTTAAAGTTAATGAAATAATTAAGTGATTAAATGAGTGATGATTGAGCATTATTGAAAACACCTAAAGCAGAATCACAAGGAAAAAAATCTAAAATTTTAAGCCACCGTTATGGAGATGAGTGTTTGCTTTAGTTGGGCTCTTGACCCTTATATTATACATCTTATATTTTAATTTGCTGTTGCATCTGAGTTGTGTCTGTCAGATGAACAAAGATAAACAATTATAAAATGATGTTGGTTATATAATGACTTTCATCATTTAAAACTTATGTCTGTGATTTATTCTGTTGGTTAATGTATAACTGAGATTCTGCATAAACATCCAGAACGTTAAATATAGTATAATGGATTTCTCAAAAGTTGTTTTAAACAAAAAAAAATCTTTCTTTAAGGCACACACAGACCTCAAGATTCAGTCAATGCTTCTCAACAACGGTGACGAGTAGAATATTCAAGTAGGAAAAGTTAATTACATCGACAATTATCAGATCATAATTTATTCAAACCGCAATGCATAATGGGAGACATTAATGAGTTGTGATTGGTGGCAACATGTCACCACAGTTGAGATAGACAGGCTGATTATTGATATCTGTGTTTCTGAATAAAGATGCCAGTGATTTGATCAGATTAAATATGTTAGGTTATAAGTAAAATACAGATATGCAGCAGAACCACAAAACTGTAGCTAACAAGTTAACCGAATCAACTGAATAAGTTTCATTTTCCAGATCATTGCATGATTAAGTCAAAACATAACCAACACTATCAGTTCACAGTTGCCTGTGTTTATTTGACTGTTATAAATCAATATCAACAGGCAAACAAAATTTAAAGTGAAAGTATAAGTGTCAAGAGCCCAACTAAAGCAAACACTGATCTCCATAACGGTGACTTACAATTTGTGATTTTGTCCTTCAGTGATTCTGCTTGTGATCATCAGGTGTCTTCAATAATGTTCAATCATCACTAAATTAATCACTTAATTATCTAAATAACAGTTTAATGTAACACTCATATCGTCCATCTGAAAGCATGTGAAGGTGATTTACTGCTAATCAAGGAACCGGCTTTACTGATTAGATGCGCATAACAATATCGTGCGGTATATCGCCCAACCCTAATGGCAAGCCGTTTTAGCTTAAATTGTACCCAGCCTTACTCGTCATTATTGCATTTTTACCAGCAAGAATTCAATTAGAGAGCTTTACAATTTAATTCCTACTAGTAGCAATTACAATTATAGAGCTCTCTAATTAAATTCGTACTAATAACAATTACGATTAGAGAGCTCTTTAATTCGATATTTACTAGTAAGAATCCCAGATAGCAGACTGACATTGAATCAACGTGGAAATATGACATCGAAACAACGTTGATCTGACATTGTTTTGCTCATCGAATTAACGTTGAACCAACGTCAGACGCGTCATTCTTTCAAAACTAACGGAAAATCAACTTGAAATCAACGCGTTGTTTCAACGTTATGAAAGTAAACCAATTTTTGATTTTCATTTAGCTTTGAAGAATGCCGCGTCTGACGTTGGTTCAACATTAATTCGATGAACAAAATCAACGTTGTTTCAATGTCATGAGAGACGTCGTTTCCACGTTGATTCAATGTCAGTTTGCTGTCTGGGATATAATTGCAGAGCTCTTTAATTGAATTGCAGAGCTCTGCAATTGCATTCTTACTAGTAAGAATTACATTAGAGAGCTCTTTAATGCAATTATTACTAGTAAAAACTGATTTAGAGAATAGACCATTTCACAAGATGTAAACAACACTGGTCCAGAAGCACTTCCTGTTTCAGTTTTTTAACACTACATAAAAGCTGGGATAAAATAGAACCAACAGAACATTTAAAACTGAATCAAAAAGTTAAACAAACATCTGTAAGATGTTTTCTTTACATGTGAAATAAAGAAAACAGTTACAAACTGAAACAGGAAGTGCTTCTGGACCAGTGTTGTTTACATCTTGTGAAATGGTCTATAATTCAATTCTTACTAGTAAGAATGCAATTGCAGAGCTCTGGAATTCAATTGGAGAGCTCTACAATTCAATTCTTACTACTAGCAATTACAATTAGAGAGCTCTCTAACTCAATTCATACTAGTGAAAATACAATTTCAGAGCGCTCTAATTCAATTATTACTAGTAACAAATACAATTGCAGAGCTCTCCAATTCATTTCTTACTAGTAACAATTACAATTAGAGAGCTCTCTAATTAAGTTTTTACTAGTAAGAATGCAATTACAGAGCTCTTTAATTCAGTTACAGAGCTCTGCAATTATACATATCTTTAATTCGTTTTTTTACTAGTAAAAATTAAATTAGAGCGCTCTGCAATTGCATTCTTACTAGTAAACACTGAATTAGAGAGCTCTCTAATTATAATTGTTGCTAGTAACAATTCAATTGTAGAGCTCTAATTAAAAATGAATGGAAGTAAATGGAGACATATGACTAGTAAAAATTAATTTGTAGAGCTCTCTAATTGAATTGTTGCTAGTAAAAATGCAATTCCGATGAGTAAGGCTGGGTACAATTTAAGCTAAACCGGCTTGCCATACACTTGCCATACACTAGCGCTAACTCTATCTATCTCTCTCTCTCTCTCTGTCTGTAAGGTTATTCTCTCAAGTGTTACTCCTGCACGTCTCCATCGAGTTCCTGTAAAGGACAAGAGGACACATGCTCATTTGGATTTTCTACATGTATCAGCACTACAGTGGAAAGACCTAATGGTAAGTCCAGTATAATGTGGAAATACCACTAGAGGGAAAGTTTCCACTTGTTAACTGCTGATCTTGGAATTGTTTTATCATCTTATAATTATATGGACATGTATGTCTTTTCTACAGAATCCACCACAGCTAAAGGGTGTGCACCCGCCTGTGTGCCAGGGACTGTAGAAGTTGCAGGAGTGAAAACGACTATAAGATGCTGTGACACTGATCTCTGCAATGCTGCAGGTATTGGCCTTTGTTTGATCATGCGCTAGCAGTTTGATTTCATGCACAGTAACTTCAAATAAGCAAATTATACAAACAACTAAAGTCCTTCCTGTCTTTGTTAGATGGAGTGTATAAGGGAAGCTTCCTCTTGCTGGTGTCTCCTCTGCTCTTCTACTTCCTGTTTCAGTGAGTCCAGCTGAACTTCAGATTCGACAGCAAAGACCATCAAATAAACTCAATATGAGGCACAATATGAATAAAGCTTGTTTGTTGCTCTGCTGTTCTTTGGGTTAAGGAACTGACAATCTGTACTTTTTTAACATTACAAAATAACTTCATTAAAACTACCTATTATAATGGTAGTTTAAAAATATTAAAACTACCACATTAATTTTATTTGCATAAATGAAAAGTTATTATACTGTAGAATGTTCATGGCCGTTTTAAAAAGTTTGTAATAAAATATCTACTTATGTCTATTAAACATCTATCTCAGTGAGTGACTGGAATTTTAATTGTTTGTTTCAATTAGTAAGCGTCATCGGTGGTAGTATATAAGTAGAGCACAAAGACTGCAAGAACACAAGCCCTGTCTTAGACCTGCTGCTACTGTAATTTACAAGCTTAGATGAGGGCCAAGGAAGGATGTTGAAACTCATGTGCTGAATACATTGGTGTAACTTTGTTTTAAAAAGTGGGTGGGGGAGGTGTGTGTGTGTGCATAAATGAATGAATCACCTGAATAAATACATACATCCGACTTATAGATGTGTGTGTCCTTTAATGGTCCAGTGGCAGAACTTTTGCCAAGCATGTCAGATGTTCTGGTTGTAATCTGCACTTGTGTAGTTTTTTGTTTGTTTTTCATCAAAACTGAATATGTTCATCAGTGGTTGTATAATATCAAGCAGGGGCATGTTTGTGTGCATTTTTGTTTTGTGATTTCACCAGAAGAAAAGAGTGTCACTCCTAACTGTACGTTCACACCGCCGGCGGCTTGAGCGTCAAAGAAGCTCTGGCCGCCCGGTCAAGGACGCTTTGAACGCTCTGACGTTGCAGGGAGAATAGAAGTGTCACAACATGAAATGTAATAAACAGAAAAAAAAAACAAGCAATAAATTGAAGAAACCTTTTTAATGGCAGCATTTTTACAACCGTTTGTCACATTTGTTAGCTATTATTATTATTATTGCGGTCAAAAAGGTGTCATCGTGATCAAATTAATTGCATTCTGCTTTAAAACGAGCGTTCGTAAATATTTCAAATAAAAGTTGCGCTCATACGGTCCTAAATGATACGAAACCAGTAGGAAACACAGCATCGGCGATGATTAGCTTCTCTTCCATTTTCTCGGAGCTAATGTTTTGGTAGGAACGAAAGTTTACATTGAATGTATCTCCGGAATCAGCCAGCGTGAAGGACGTCTATATTCCGATTGGTTGCTGGCGTTTTGCCGCTGCTTGCCGCTGGACCACGTTGGAGCTCATTATCCTAAAGTTGAGCTTCTTTCTACTTTCTGATTGACGCTCAAAACGCGACGCCGATGGATTTGACGCTCCTTGCAGCTGAGAAAAGCCAGCTTCCATTGGAAAGGAATGAGTTCCAGCCACTTTGGAAGCTCAAGTCGGCGGCGGTGTGAACGTACAGTAAACGGATTAAAACACACGTGCATGCGTCACGAGATGTACTGTAACCGCGCCACCAATCGTAGGCGGCAACAAGCACTTTGATCACTTGATTAAAACAATATATATATATATATATTTCAGTGCTAGTTCGCCTCTTATTTAATAAACCAACAAAATAAACGCTCTGTAATTTTAAGGCACACAGAAAACTTTATTTCTATTGGTACATCCGTGTCGCGACAGTTTTTAAAAAGTGGTGGGGACATGTCCAACCCGTCCCATCCGCAAATTACGTCCCTGGCTGAATATGTTAACATTACCAGCTACCTCTGCCTTGCTGGTTGAAATAAATCCGTTTATCCAATTTAGTTTTTGTAAACACATGTAAGACATTTTACTGTATGTGAGCATGCAATGCACTTCATATACAGAATTTATATATAAACTGTGTTTACTATATACTATACATAATTTGTGTATATATTAAACAATTACATTGCAGGAATTCACTAATAAAATTTTGATCATTCATCCATTTTAACTTAAGAAATCTACACTGACAAAAAAAAAAAATCATAATTGTTCAATCCTTAAAGTAATGTGAAATAAAGTGAAATCACTTTATTTTCAAAAATTTTTTCAAAAAACTTTGAGTTTTCAGGCACACAAAACGCTGTTGTGGTGTAAACGAACGGCCAAAACGCATACAAGGTTTTTGTATACAAGCAACAGTCCCTTGCTTGGATTTCTTTTACTGGCTGCCCAACCCGTTTATGCAGCGTGGTTTTATACATTTTGGTTTACTTGCAAAAGGTGCAGTGTGAAGGCGAACAACACCGAAAAAAACAAAAACTAAATTGTATTTGGTCCGGAACAAACCCAAGTGAACTAGCAGACTTTCCTGGTGTTTATACCCCCTAGTCACTATGCAGGTACTACTAGACCGAAGCGCCCGTGTCTTCAGATTGGTTGGACATGGCTGTGGTTACAAGAGGTAAAAACGATATAAATGCTGTTCGTTTTCTCACACAAACCGCTCGTTTCGTGTCTTAGGCCATCAATCTGTACTTACATTTGGTACCTACTTTGGCACTTGTAACACCTGCAACACCTAGTTGCAATGGGTAGTCTATTTTTGTGGACCACTAGGTTCGTCCAGGGAGCCTGAAATAATCGTTGCTTATACAGATAAAATGAATCAGAGCTTATTTTGATATCAGTCGACTTACTTTTTATAATGTAAAGATAATAATGAAATGAATTTGTCGTGAACACCCAATAAGAACAATCACAAGAGAGAAATAAAAAAAAAAATACAAATACAATGGACAATATACCAGTATGAGAAAAAAATGTAAAAGAGTTAGATCTAACAAAATCCTATAGGTGCACCTTCATAAATAAACCCACTCTTGTATATCAAATGAAGTTTGTTCACACTCATCCAACAGTTTGGTATGGATACAAAAAAACAACTAAATCAATCAAAAATTGAGTAAAATAAGTCCATAAAATTCAAGCTGAATTTTTTAGGGGAAAAACAAAATGTCCAGTCCTTTGAACTTGATCCAGGAAAAATTTGAATCACTGTCTCAAGTGATAGGAAAAATAGTGAAGAAAATAGAGTGAAAATCCCACCTCAAGGTTGAAGAAATGGATTTTTACAAAATAAGGGTTTAGGCCTAGGCTACTCAATCAGATCGTCCAGCGTCCAGATACATGGGGGGCTCGCCATCAAATGAAATATCCAGATATTTTTTTAACAGGAACAAAAAACCTGACCTGTATTTTAGGTCAAAATGGTAAGAAAATTAGGCTACTATCTTATTTCAGAGGGAAATAATTATCATCACATTACAGCAATAACCAAAATAAAATTATATTTGTCAGCCACATAAAGGAAGTTTTTATATAAAACTAATATTAAACCATATATAGACTTTAACATAAACTCAAGACTTCACTTAAAACACAGTTTCTAGAACTTCGTCACACAATTGACCTTTCGCCGGCCCCTCCCACAAAATGGCCATTGTCCAATACTAAGGGGTATAAATATTTCCAGTGGGTGGAGTCAAGCTCAGATCAGGGATTTAGTCACCCTTTAAGGGTTTTTATTGCTGGCCACAACCGGTCAAAAAAAGTTCTCCACAAAATATATGCATTTCACAAGTACATATATTTATAAAGAAACAATTCAAACAAATAATAACCAAATTACCACTTGAGACATGGAAAACTTGATTTAAATATAAATGAACAAATAATTAGGATTGACATTATGTTTAAAGTCATTTTATTCAACTTTAATAATCAAAATGATCCATGCCATGTGCATAATTCACTGCAGGATATGAAGACAGAGTTTCCTGGCACAAATGAAATAAACTCCATGTAATGCATTAAAGAGGAGGTTACAATGCCGTTTCATATTTCATATTAATAAGAAGATTCCAGCACCCAAAACTATGTCAAACCTTTTCTATCATGAGATAATGCTAACACTTTACAATAAGGTTCATTAGTTAATAACATTAGTTAACATGAGCTAATAATGACTTTCTACAGCATTTAATAATCTTTGTTAATTTCAACATTTACTAATACATTATTAAAATCTTAGCTGGATTTACTACCAAAGATTAACTAATCCTATATCACATGTATTGCTCATGGTTAGTTCATGTTAGTTAACACAATCTAATAATAACTAATTAACCTTATTGTAAAGTGGGTTACGCTTTATTTTAAGGTGTCATTGTTACAGTGTAATTATATATTAGTACTAATATTCTGTATTTACTGTAGGATTAGGGTTTGGTTGAGGGTTAGTTGAATGTAAGAATGCATAATTTACTATGGTAACATATGTAACAAGGACCCTGTAAAATAGTGTTACCAAGATAATAAATGACCCAATAAGTCCACTCCCAATGAATTTGAATGTTTCTGTATTTGCTTCATTCCTTCTGTCCTGCTTTGTGAATCGGTTTACAACATTCGGGCCAGAAATAAATCCCTATATTCCCCCAAACACACTCAATACTTGAACTTCAAAACCGAAGAAGTCTTACCGCTGAAGTCACACCATTAAACACTCTTTATTCGTACTTTCTCAGCGCCTGACATCCGCCTAGATCCAGTGACACAGACGGACAGCGAATCCTCACGATTGGCACAGCGTGTGGTTTTTCTGAGAGAACTAAGATGTTTACTTCCAGAAGAGGATGTTCCAGAACATCAGCCAGCAGGGGTACACGAACAGGGCTAGCAGCGGGTACACGAGCGAGCCGTACAGCGCGTGGTCCAGAATGCCCTGCGAGATGACCGAGAGGAACAGCATCCAGCCCTCGCTGATGCTGACGGGCACCTCGATGAGCTCCTGGTAGATGAAGACGCAGTAGAGGATGGTGAAGGCAGGACTGAGCAGCACCATCACCATAGCACTCAGAGCTCTGACACACACACAACACAGCGTTAGAGGACAACAGGCACAGGACCAGGAACACAGGAAACACTCACTAGCACATTCGAGATGTATAATTGGTTATATCTTGGTTTT